ACCCGGCCGGGCTGTTTGTATGAACGAAAAATTAATAATTCATATCAAGAATATACAGAAATATTGCCCGTGATTATTATCAAAAACTTCTCTATGTTTTGTTGTCTTTTATATATACTTTTCATTCTAAAAAGCTGCCCGGCCGGGCCCCGTATGCGAATTGTGACCCCAGCATTAGAGCTTGTATGCCCAATGGAATATTCAGAACATTTGTTTCTGGATGAATATTTGTTTCTGACATGTCTGAATATCTCTCAACTTATTTTGGTGACTATATAGCTCTATGTATGATTCTGTGTGGAGGATTTTGTTTTGCACGATTGTCTAACAAAAAATATCTTTTGATTCTGCATCTTTGCGTAAAAAAATTGTCACATCTCATTGCATTCAATCCAAAACCACAAAAAACGCCTTTAATACTTTATGGCTGTGTTCATGCACATGGAACTGAATATGAATTATGAATGCTTAGAAATGAAAAGTGTCAAATATTCCTTTTCGAAGATTTCTTGTGGTTGGTTGATTGGTTGTTTGTTAGAGAAAAAATTCCTGCTGTCAAACTACTGACCCTTTCCATTGAATGTGTTGTCCATCAAAGACGATTGTACTGTGCATTCCTGCTTCCTTGGGTTCTTTTGGGGTGATGTGTATTTATTCATGCCATATTGGGGAGGAAGGGACATGGCAGTCTCTTTATTTTCATGTCTCCCAATTAACCTTGCCTTGTACTTAAAAAAGGAAAACTGTTCAACAGGATATCAAGGTGCATGGCCTTAAATCTTGACAAATTAGAATGATATTAAGACCAGACTGGTACATTTATTTGTACTATAGTCGTGTTTGTATTTCGTCTCATGTTCTTGTCCATGCTCTGTTTTGACTAGTAGAGTTAATTCCCATCTTGAAAATGCAGCTTTCCATCAATTGTTTTTTTTTCTCCAGCATTCTTTCTAAGGTATGAAGTATACAAAAGTTGATTATCAGAGACTGTAGAGGTAATTTTCAGGCCTGATGAATTGTTTTATCTAAGTGATCCCTTATCAGATCATCTGGAAAGTATCTGTGGTTTTTCAGTTCATTAGATGCAAGCATGAACAGTGGTGTGGCCACAGAGGGGTTGATTGCCGCTTCTGTGGTATTCCTGAGGAAAGGGACATGATTCCAATCACTGGCCAGTCTGGGTCAATTATCAGAAACAGATCCATTCTGATTTTTGCACATTCCTGGAACATCTGGTCAACAGCATTGTCCAATTTAGCTGTCAATCATAATTGTGAATTGGTCTAAAATGTGTTTGATATCAGCATAAGATGAAGTATGAAACCATGCAAGTGATTCAAGAATATAATTGAGTTCAGAGAAGTGAATTCCTTTCTCTGGTTATTACAAAAGCTGGAATTATATAGCCCATCACATGCCTTTATCTGACAATAACAGGACATTTTGCACATAGGTTAGCTCTAAGGTAGTATTTGTTTTGTAATAGTCATGGCAAATATTACCATGCCAGAGAGTTTTGCCTGGTTATTTTTCCTGGCCCCTCATGATGTGTACATATTACAGACACCCTGGACTGCTCGTTAATTGAGGTTTAATGATGTCTCCTGTGTTGCTTCACAGTCTGGGGCTAATCCTTTATTGGTGAGGATAATTGCTGTGATAAGACTTGAGGTGACAAAAAGTGATTTAGAGTCTTTGTGATGTTGCATTATTGTAGAGACAAGGTGTCATAAGCATACTGTTATATGATGTGCAAAATATACCAATAGTCGCTAATGTGAGCAGTAGTTTGATTGGCTAACATATGTATATGTCAGATGATTTGCTAGAGTTGACTGGTTGGATTCGATTTGGGCTGGGTTGTCAACATTTTGTACATGTAAGAGTGCAATGACAATCATCTGTCCATAGCTATCATATGTCATCCCTATACATATATTGCAAATCTGGATCTTGCCTAAGTAAATCCTAATTTTGAATTTGCTGATAATAATATATACATGTACAAGGAGTGACTACTGCCTACAAGATATGTTATAGGCACCTGCACTTGACTTCACGCCTCTGAGATGAATAATAGCTTTACTGGACCATTAAATATGAGATCAGCATCCACATCATGTACCTCTCAGGTCCCAAATTAGGTCCAGAGCCTGCTAGGGTTGGTTTGGGTTCTGTCCTGGCATTTTGTTTCAATCAGTGTCCAAAAGGAGATAACCTTTTCTCAGGGGTCACCACCTTGGAATGGGGTTTTTGAGCCAGGGCGGCTGACCAGCTTAGCAAAACTGGCAACAAACACTTCTGTGGTTTGGAGTGCTTGTAACTCTGGGCACTTATGTAGACTTAGTCTCTAATCCTGTAAGTGTGAGGACTCTGGATACCAAAGGTTTAGGTTGCATCATTTGGCTGGCTGACTTAAAAAGTCAATCTAATCGTTTAGCCCTTACAGCTTTCTTGAATCTAAAACTGTTTTTTTCATACCTACACATTCTTCAAAAGGATAAGAGCACATTTATTTTTATCAATAGACTTTGAGACTTCTGAATTGAAGATGTAGAAACACATGGTAAGCTAGCAGACTATGGTACTACAGGACCAAATAAGCCATGTTTGAAAACCATGGACTGCTTCAATTGGTAATGCTATTTTGGTTTATTGTAGCATCAGTTCACATATTGCTCCACCTGTTTTGTTTTAACAGGTGTTTCACTTAAGCTTGCAGTTACGTCACTGTATCCGCTATTTTTATAACTCTGTAATAGCTTACAAACAATGTTGGCTACGACTTCCTTTGAGTCAAATACCACTGTGTACTAAGGAAGTGGTGTTACAGCTCATTTATATTACCTGAAGAATTCTGTTGGGTTCATTGTCCTGTCGGGTACTGAAAGAACTTTTATTGTACAGTCTTTCTGAAGAAACCAAAAGCGGCTTTGTTTCTGCCCTGAGGCCCAGCTTAGCATTGGAATTTAAATTTTCCCTTCGGACACAAAGCCCTGAGTGGGGGTAGGGTTCCTGTAGTTGCTTTGTGGCCTGTTTCATGGTAAAGCTTATCGGAAGTTATCCCACGTAAACTTTCCAGAGAGGTGGAAGTATGTCAACATGGCTAATAGAATACGCTGACTATTTTGAAATCAAAGAAAAGTTTATCTCATTGCAGTTTACAGGATCAAGCCTTTCGCTGAACAGATTATGAATGAGATTAAAGTCTGCTATGCTTGTCTGAATCAAATATACCCAGAGGAAATACCTTAAATCCTTCTACCTCGATAAGAGCGTAGCCTTTAAAGACACCTTTGTTGATGGTGGGCTTAGAACTGCAGACAAAGCTAAAACAATTTGTTTCCTGATAATTATAAGAGAATGTTGCTGATGGAGAAATCCACCTGCAGAATTAGGTGTGTCGGTGAGGTTGATCCTGGCCATATCAAGTTTTCCCCTGCACAAAGTCTTTGGACTAATTTGGGATCTCTCTAAGTCTAAAGCAGTCAAGAATGCTGTCCAGTAGGGTCTACACTGAACCATTGTTCCTCAGGCTTCTTTTTCATACAACTTACAGCACAGCACTGTAGTACACTGGAGCTTTGTTTCTAATAGTTATTAATAGTCCTGATATTTTGTTACAGACACATGCACAAACATGAGTTATGGCCTGACTGAAACAGATGCCTCTTGATAGAAAGCAATAACATTGTCCCCAAATAGACAGCCTTCCATATTTCACAGTAACACAAGATGGCTGCCCTAATTATCAGGATTTCTGGTTGCCACGGCAACAGCTGAGAATGGAAAGATTGTTGGTTTTGGCAGGGTCCCACTCAAGTTGTAAATCTGTTGGGAGATCAGATTTGCCCTGTAATGCTGACCCCCTCTTATATTTGTGGGGTAATTGGACAGACGCTGTGCCCTTTCTTGGACTGTTGGCTTGAATAACAGATTTTGATTTAGAAGAGAACAGATACATGTATATAGTTTTTATTTTCCAATAGAGTTATACATTCTGAACTTGAACATGCAAGCATTACTGATAAAGTATTATGTTGCAATACCTTGTCAATGTCATTGTCATGCAACATGTGTAGAATTTATCCAGAAACATGCTTGCTTGTAATTGTGTGGCCCTGAGGTTTAATTGAAAGTTGACCCAATGACCTTGACCAAAGTTCTATGACATCCACTCATTCTTACCCTTAACCTCTCAGGAGGGGGCAAGATCTTATTCCTGCTCAGCAGGTTATAAAGAATGTCTTTCAATATCTTTGAAAGATGCACAAAAGGTGTGCGGAATTTTCACGGAGCAATGTTTCTGTATGCACGCATGTACAGTGTCCTTGTATCACAAACAGCTTCTCCTGAAGCCTAACTTTAGCACTCAAAGTGTACTTCTGACGTAATAGGTTTATAGGTTTTGTTCGGGATGTAAAAAAAAATATTGTTTTATCAAGCCATCAAGGACAATTACTTTGTTGAAACTATTTGTCAGGGTCACACCCCTTCCTCGCTAGTCATCCTGATTCTCCTAGCTTCAGTTTGGTGGGATAACAAATAATCAAAGGGAGTGTGGAGTCAGGAGGTTAGTCTGTATCAGTGTGAGAACTGGGCCACACCATCTGTACAACATGAGGAGGGGGCAACAGTGTGCAAACAACCCAGTCCATCAATGTCCTTTGTGTCATTGCTCCCAACAGAGGTGACCGCTGGGTTTCTGGGTCACGAGACAGATGACAAGATTTCTGTGTAGTTTTCCCAGACAAATTTGTGACTTGAGCATATTATAAGTTTTGTCATATGATTCTTTCTATATGGTGCTAAAAATAAAATTGGTTTTGTCCAATTGCACCTACTTTTAAAAGTTTTGTTTGAAATGATTTCAACAGACATCATATTAACTTAATTACACTTAAGTTCTTCAATCATGAACTTGTATAAGTTGTATCTTCATGTATAGTTTGGAGTCTTTGGACAATTGACTGACAGGATGTTCCCTTGTGTATTTCCAGGTCTGTCACTGCTCGCTGCTGTTGTGGCCCAGACTACACAAGCACCAACACCAAGTGCAAACGCCTTCTTCAATGGCTTCAACTCCTATGCAGTGTTACCCAACACCATCAACATCAGATCCAGACTTACGTCCTTCAGCTTTAGAACTTGCAATGCGGGCCAACTCCTACGACAGGAGGGACAAAATGGGGACTATATCGAGCTGGCCCTTCTAGACTCCGGGGTTTTAAGATTCTCTTTTAGAAAGGCAGGGGGAAGGGGGGAAGATTACGTTGATCTAGGGTCAGGACTCACGACTAATCAGATGTGGCACACAGTAAACCTAGAGTATTCTGTAGGCAACCTGACGTTAAGTGTTGATGGGGAACAGATCACAGTTGCGTCCCGGACCGTCAATGGTTACGTTCTCGACATCAACTTGTCTGGAGGAGAAGGAGTAAAAGTTGGACAAGGGCTCACCGGATGTGTGTACGAGGGTCCAGGGGTGCAGCTGACCACTGCAACATCACAGTCCAACGTGGAGTGGGGGAGATGCCGTTTGGAGGACGAGGAGGGATGTGGTAAGTAGATGTGTTCAGAAAGCTGTGTTGACAGCCACTCTGGGAGTGTGGTGAGGTTATTACTGCTTTTAGTCATTTCAGAAAGCTGTACTGTTCTAATGGACACCAGTGTACTATAAAAGTTGCATAGTGAATTTCGTTTCAAACAGTCATTAAGCTTTATCTGTCAGATCTTTATATTCCTCAGTATATCTTTTAAGAAACCCAGTTTCTAACACTGATATCAGTATATGTAAATGATAAATCCCTCTTTGGAAACTGAAAGCATATCCATAAATGTCAGAGTTCAGATAGAATTTGTAGCTTTTGTGTTTGCATTCTGTTTTGATGTGCTGCTGCATTTTCCTCTCTTCAAAGGAAACATTGTTTGCATTTTTAGAATGTTTTGTTGAAAATTTTGACATACTGCTGACTTTCTTTGTGTCCTTATAGTAACATTTTGATTTCTGTTTTTCTGTCTCTTCTATTTATGTTGCACATGATTGGCATTATTTTAAGGTTGTATGTTATGTAGTGTACTTTCCATGTTTAGATACCATGTCTTTTTTGTTGTCGATATCAAAGACTTGTTATCCAATGCTAGTTTTATTGAACCACAGCATGCAGTTTGGTTTGTTTCCTTCTCAAATGCTTTTGATAGCTTTTGGAATTGGCATTGCGACTTTGTCTTGTGCATGTGTGTAGCAACTACAAAGCTATGAAGACACTTCCAAGTTTGATTTGCTGTATTTGTTGACATAAGCTCTGCTTTCCAGGCCTAGCAGAGGATAGAGGTATGTGGGAGGTGGTGGCTTAG